AATTAACCAGCCAAAAAAAATGCCCCCAAACAAAAAAACCCCACCAAAATAAACAAACACGGGTAGAGGTGTGTGGCTCAAGTGGTATAATGCCAGCTTCAAGTAAAAAAGCCAAATGAGAGCACAAGTCCCTTTGTTCAAGATCCACACAATGACACTGTTTAGTGTTGTTTATTGTTTTCTTTTCTAGTGTCCAAACAAAGCTTACCTTTGGCTTACATATGTAGAAGGCAAATACCCTGGGTCTTCTGAAATGGCACAACTTAAAATCATGTCCTAGATACTTTAAGCTTTTGAATTCCAGTTGTAATCCACAAGTACCTGAAAGCAACTTGATACAATGCCCCAACAGAGAGTTCTGGGTTCTTGGCTTGCAGACAGTCTGGCTTCTGTTCTTGCTGTGGCATGGAGGACATTTAAATTCTGTCCCCACATTAGTGGCCAGTTATGCTCAGGCCTACAAGCTATCCCTTGCTTTCTGCCCAGTGTTTCTCAGGGAAAGCCTAGAGTATTTCTTTTGGACAATCTGATAGTTCTCCTTTGAGACTAAAAAAGAAGAGTTGGAGAAAAGCTCTTTTGGTGTCTTTGCCTTCTGTTAGAATTCTCATTTAGGACAAGCTTCCTCCAAAGATCAGACCACTGTCCTGCACAAGTACCAGTACCTCCTTTCCTGAGGGTACAGAGAGGAGAGCTAAGCCCAGGGGTGTACAATTTGCTTATATCAGCCATTTCTTTACTGTTGAACTTTGTGTTGTAAGGTACAGCTGGCTGCAAGGAAAGCCTTTTTTGATTAGGGTTGTGTAATGTTTTCCCTATAACCCAGTAGCCCATTTGTCACCTTATTCTTTCTACAGGGAATAGAGCCAAGGCCCATACCTACTGATGAGTCTGCACACATGTAGCACGTGCTCGCCACACAGTCATTTGACTATGTAGTGGAGACGCTGGCTAATCAAATCTTCAGATCCTTGAGGAATCATGACTGATCAGCCTGCTAGACTCATTATTTTTCATCTGGAGTTTTGCAGACTTGAGGAAACAAACTCCAATTCCAGAGTTATTCTCATTAGTCCCTTGATGGAATTTCTTTTTTTCCCCTTTATTTAATTTTTTTATTTTATTGTAAAGATCCTGTACAGAGGGGTTACAGTTACATGAGTAAGGTAATGAGTACATTTCTTGTCCTTGACGGAATTTCTCAGGGCTTTTTATTTCCCCTGTCAGTCACAGATGCTTTCCCTGCTTCTGGCTTTTCGTTGACCCGTGGACATGTGTTACCTTGCTGACTTTTTACAGCCCTTCTGAGGCTCCTGCTGAGTTGTGCGGGGAGAAATTACCCAGCTTTCCCTCTCACCATGGCTGTGTATCCTCACCAGAATACTGTAGCAGCTACTTCCCACTACCTGCTGCTATTATTGGTTGGCAGTCGACAATGAATTCTCCAAATTTGGATTCAACTTTCGAATCACTTAAATTACTTTGTATTCTTGAGGGTTCTTTTCATGTGTGTGTGTGTGTGTGTGTGTGTGTGTGTGTGTGTGCGCGCGTGCGCACACGCACGCATGCTAGTACTGGGTGCTTGAACTCAGGGCTTGAACTCACTATCCTTTAGGGTTTGTTTTTTGTTTTTTGCTCAGGATGCTTACTTCTTGAGCAACAGCTCTACTTCTGGCATTTTTGCTGGTGAATTGGAGATAGAAGTCTCACAGACTTTCTGCCCATGCAGGCATTGAAGTGTGATCCTTAGCTCTCAGCCTCCTAAGTCATTAGGCTTACAGGCCTGAGCCACCAGTGCCTGGCTTGGGTGTCTGGTTGCCGGTGCTCACTGGAGACGCCCTCCTGTCATGTGCTGTAGGAAAGTTACACAGCACAGGAAGTAGGGGCTTGAGGGGCCTTCCTGTTAAATGGAGGGTGGGAGCCTCACTAGATGAAAGAGGAGTTTCCAAGTAACATGGTAGCTATCACCTTTAGCTGTTGTGGAGCTCTGAGGGGAAGGATAGGGAAGCAGAGAACTGGATGATTGGCTGCCATGGATGGTGGATGAAGATGGGCCTTTCAGTGCAGCATGTGGGTGGTTCCCCAACACTGCTCATCCTGCCATGCATGAACCACACAACTCCCATCCTGTTTAGGCTCTGCCACCTCTTGTGGCCCTGTCCTATTAGCATACTAACCCCAGCAATAAGGTCCCCATTAAATACTTGTGGAATACATCAACATTCGGACAGGTCTTTCAGAAGTAAAAGGGACAGTGGCTGTGTGGGCAGGAAGAGCAGAACTTGGTTGGGGGCACAAGCATGAGGTAGGGTTTTCCTTCCCATGTTCTATGGTGAGCAAATGTCATGTGCTTAAGGTGTGGTCCTCAATGTGAGAGCTGGTAAGACCTTTAAAAGGTGGAGCGTTAGGCGGAGCCTTGAGAGAGAAGGCAGAACTGGCCCTTCCTACTCTGACTTCCAGTCTCACCATGGGATTTCTTCCTCTCTCACCAATCCCCCCACCATTGTAGTGGAAGACATTGAGGTGATTGAGTGAAGAGGGCCTTCACCAGAGCTGGTGCTGGGCTGGTTGGGCTTTCAGCCTCCTACACTGTAAGATCAATAAGCTTTTCTTTCCAAGGACCTTGCTTCAAGTGTTTTATTATAGCAATGTATTTTTATTATAGTAATGTCTTAGGTACCCTCTCCATCAGAGAGTTTAACCCTTCTACCTCAGCTTCTCATCATCCCCCGTACCTGTTAGATGCCAAAGGCTTTGGCCAAACCCTTGATGTATGGTAATCCTCTAACACCCGTGGCAGATGGCATTTCCCTTGGGGCACATGCAAAAAGGGAGGGAGGTTCACAGAGGAAGGGGACTTGCACAGCTGAGTTATGAACCAGGTCTGTCTCCATTCCCGTATTCATGTAAGTTGTGACTACACTTATGAATCAATAGTAACTTTTTTTTAAATTGTCCGAGACTGGGATTTGAACTCGGGACCTTATGCTTTCATTCAGCTGAACAACGCCTCCAACTGCTTAGTAGTAACTTTAATGGTGGGAATCTCAGGCTGGGAAGGAGAGAAAATGGTTCTACTGTGGCGAGTGAGAATATTTCATTAGGTTTGTGGCCCTGCTCAGCCCCCTTGTCCATCCAGATGCAGGCTGGCCTATTCTTTCACCAGTGTTGGCTTTACCATTGAGTTCAGAAAGAGATGGTGTGGAAAGAGACAGAAAGCTCTAGGACATGAACTGTAGCTATAAGTATGTTGGGTTTGGGCTGGGAAGGTGGCTCAGTGGTAGAGCGCTTGCCTTGCATGCCTGAGGCCCTGGGTTCGATTCCTCAGCACCACATAAGCAAAAAAAAAGCCGCAAGTGGCGCTGTGGCTCAAGTGGTAGAGTGCTAGCCTTGAGCTGAAGAGCTGAGGGACAGCGCCCAGGCCCTGAGTTCAGGCCCCACGACCGGAACAAAAAAAAAAAAAAAGTATGTTGGGTCCCTTGGTCTTTTCTTCATGAAATAATAGTGAGGAAGAGGCCAGAAGTGGGGCTGCAGGGATGGGATACTGCTTTCCAGGACTGGGAGAGGGTCGCACCAATATGGCTGATGCTGACAATTGGGCTGGATAAGACAACTGGCAAGACCTCCCACATACAGTCAGGCCAGACAAGCAAGGCATTTGGGTTTGGATGGTTGCTAGGACTGGCTCTGTTTCGGGATAATGTGTTTTCAGAAGTTAAATCAATCACAAATACTGCTGCAGTAACAATCATTTCCCAGGCAAGCCATGCACCATCTTTTTTTTTAAATTTTATTTTATTGTAAGCCATGCACCATCTTGACAAGGGTGCAAATATCCCCATATCTTCTACTTCTAGCTACATGGTAATATCTTCCATGCTGCTCTTTCTCTTGCATACCTACATTCTTACTTTGCTCTGTGCCTCCTTCATGTATCTGTGTTCAACCATGGGCTGTGATGAAGCATTTTGGACAGGTTTTTTGGATTCTTGGAATTCTACAATTACCTACTTGTAGGGAGCACAGAAATAAAGAGCTCCAGGACCCCCCACACCTTCTGTCCCCTAGGATTCCTTTCATGGAATGGAGACCACAAAAACAGCTCAGGCTGTGAGACAAAATATCTCAGTGCTACTTGTCTGTGTAGTTTGGAGAAGCCCACAGGCATCTCAGAATCTCCTCTATCAAATGAGGGGGTGAAGAAGGAACAATGTTCCTTTTCCTTTAGGATCTTCTGAGTTATAAAGCCACAACATTTCTTGGGTTACTTAACATTCAATTCTCCTTGCAACTCCAGTGTCATTGCTTGTTGGGTCTCTGTCTCTGTCTCTCTTTTTCTTTGTGTCAGTACTGGGGCTTGAACTCAGGGTCTAGGCACTGTCCCTTAGCTTTTTTTTGCTCAAGGCTAGCACTCTTACCACTTAAGTCACAGCTCTGCTTCTGTCTGACTTTGAACCTCCATCCTCAGATCTCAGCCTCCTGAGTAGCTAGGTTTACAGGCGTGAACCACTAGCGCTGGGCTTTGTTGGGTCTCTTAACTAGTTAATTTAACCCATGCATTGGAGTTAATAATTGAATCTTGGTGGGAAGAAAAACAAAAAAACAAAAACCCTCTAACTTTTTTCCCATATGAAGCATAGATATACATCTAGTAATAAGCAGTTACACATTTTATTTGTATTATTAAAATTAACATTTTATGGGGAGTGTGGCTAGGGAAGTATTTTAAGACTATGAGTAGCACAATGAAAAAGAAGAGATGAGGAAACATAGATTTGACTACATGTGGCTTACCATGACAGATACTGGCCTTTGGGGGTGAATAACAGCATTTCTCCCTCATCCAGGGCATGGACACCTTTCTTATTATTGTTTCTTCTATGCCACATGCCTCCTTTCCTTTGTTCTAAATCCTAATTCATACTCATTTGGGTGGGTTTGTTGGTACATTCTGGTGGCTCTGACAGTGTTATTGTTATTATTTGTGGTTCTCTTCACTCTAGCTATGGCATTGCTGGATCCACCAATGTGACAGGTGACCAAGTTAAGAAGCTGGATGTCCTCTCCAATGACCTGGTTGTGAACATGCTAAAGTCGTCCTTCGCCACATGTGTTCTTGTATCTGAAGAAGATAAACAGGCCATAATCGTAGAAGCTGACAAGAGGGTGGGTGTGCATTTCCACCGTTGAAGGTTTTGAATGTAGCCATTTTTCTTCTCAGATTCAGGAATGACTTCTTTCTCCAAGCTTGATTCCTAGAACTCACTCAGTGTCACTCTTGTCTCTCTTTGCTGACCCTACCATGTCTTCCACCTGTCTTCCCACCTGTAGCTCATACTCTTGCCATCTTACCCATGGCCTCCCACAGCTCATTTCTGTTTCTTTCTATTACCTATGTTCAAGGCTTTTCACTCTACCATTTGAGCCACAGCGCCACTTCCTGTTCAAGGCTTTTCAAAGACTGGCTTCTGATGATTGGCTCTTTCTCTGCATCTCCACCACCAAATCCCCAGCCCTCACGTCTGACCCTGTGGCTAAACTAGACTGTAGACTGTTCCAAGTTTCCTTCACAGATTCAAGCATTGAAATATTCTGGAGGCCTATTGGTCTGGTTGCTTTGTGTGTGTGTGTGTGTGTGTGTGTGTGTGTGTGTGCAAGTCCTGGCACTTGAATTCAGTCCTGGGTTCTATCCCTGAGATTTTGTGCTCAAGGTTAGCACTAGCACTCTATCATTTGGACTTTTCTGCCTGGACTGGCTTTGAATAATGATTCTCAGATCTCAGCCTCTTTTTGGGGGGAGGGGAGGGGACTAGTCCTGGACTTGAACTCTGGGTCTGAGTGTTGTCCCTGAGCCTTTGTGCTTAAGGCTAACGTTCTACCGCTTGAGCGATAGCTCCACTTCCTGGTTTTTTGGTAGTTTTACTGAAGATAGGCTTTCCTGCCTGGGCTGGCTTTGAACAGTGATCCTCAGCTACTCAGCCTCCTGAGTAGCTAGGATCACAGGCTTAAAGCTGCCAGTGCCTGGCCATCTCAGTCTCTTGAGTAGGTAGAATTACAAGTGAGAGCTGCTTGTGCCAGGCTGGTCTGGTTGCTTTTTAAGGGCAAAAACTAAACGGTATTCTCTGTGTCTTAGCTTCTACCCCAATATGGTAGAAACTCAGCAACAAATGACTGCTAAAGATAACCATTGAAAGAACAAGTGTAACTTGTATAAGACAACAGCAAAGCTGGGCACTAGTGGCTCCCACCTGTAATCCTAACTACTTTGGAGGCTCAGCTGAGCCAGCCCGGACAGGAAAGTCCGTGAGACTCTTATCTCCAATAAACCACAGAAAACCAGAAATGGCACTGTGACTCAAGCAGTAGGGCTTTCGCCTTGAGCTGAAGAGCTGAGGGACAGCACCCAAGCCCAGAGTTCAAGCCCCATGACTGACAAAAAAAAAAGACAACAGCAATTGTAAAAACCTTTGAGATTAGATGTGGAGTTATATGAAATCACTCTCTGTCTTTGATTGAGATGATTTAAAGACATGGAGGAGAAGAATTATCAAAACCCAAAAGACAAATAGACTGCCTGTGTTGACCTTAGTGGGAGGGTAGAAGCCAAAGCTTATTAACTTGTTTGACATCATTCTTAAAATAGCAATACATGCCAGACTCAGGGTTCATGTGTTTCTCTGCTGGGCCTCTTATAGTCATTGGCATCTCTCCTGTGCATTCTCCATCAGATACCCTACTCTTCTCTGCCTGAGATATGATTTTGTGGTAGGCATGTTTCATTTTTTTAGTCTATGGCTTCTCTTATATCCACAAAGTTGGTTTAAGAATAAACGGTCAGGGAATCATATAAATCTAGGCCAGAATATTTGAAAATAATACTTAAAGATATTCCAGTGTGGAGATGGAAAATTCCTAGGGATAAACAGGTAAAACTGTGTCTCAAAAAAAATCTTTTTGTAGTACTTACCTAATGCAATGTTGGAAATACTCAAGCCATAAATTGATTTAATGGTACCAATAAGACATAATTGAGCCAGGTGCTAGTAATTTAGCTATTAAGGAGGCTGAGACTTGGAGGACCTTGGTTGGAAGCCAACAAGCCTAGAAAAATCTGTGAGATTCCATCTCCAATTACTGAATCCATCTAACTCCATCTCCAATTAATTAATTAAGAAAAATGCTGTACTAAAGGTGTGGCTTGGTGAGCAAGAGTGTGATCCCTGAGTTCAAGCCCTGGTACTGGTACATGTGTGTGTGTGTGTACACACACACACACACACACACACACACACACACACAGTATGACATAATTAAAAACAGAGCTGGGAAAAGATAGACCCATTTAGCTCTGAAGAGCCCATTCCAGTCAGCTCCAGCAGCATATTACATAGCTCTCTGGTGGTTCTACCAGAGCAGGTGATTTCCTGTGGGGTTTGTACTAGGAATATTGTTGAGAATGTGCATTGCAACCTCATGCAGCCACCTGTAAGGCCCCTCCCCTCTCTCTTCCCTTTTTCCTTCCTTCTTCCCTTCCTTTCTTTCTTCCTTTCTTTCACTCAGGGCCTCATGCTCTCAGTTGCCTTTTTCCACTTAAGGATGGTACTCTACCATTTGAGTCACACCTCCACTTCCAGCTTTTTTGCTGGTTAATTGGCAACAACAGTCTCATGGATTTTTCTGCCTAGGCTGGTTTTAAACTGAGGTCCTTAGATATAAGCCCCCTGGATAGCTAGGATTACACGAGTGAGACTTGCTAGGATTATAGGAGTAAGACAACAGTGCCGGGTTGAAAAGTTTCTTATAATTCTGAGTACTAGGAAAAATCTTTGTTTCACCAAGAGAATTGGTTTCCTCTTATAAACGAAGAGGAAATGGTTACTCTTGTTTCTCTTTTTTCCCTTTGGCTGCCAGGACTCTCAAATCAAATTTGTAAACAGATTCTGTCAACGATATAAGAAATTATGGCTTGGGGCTGGGAAGGTGGCTCAGTGGTAGAGCGCTTGCCTTGCATGCCTGAGGCCCTGGGTTCGATTCCTCCCCACCACATAAGCAAAAATAAAAAGCCGGAAGTGGTGCTGTGGCTCAAGTGGTAGAGCGCTAGCCTTGAGCTGAAGAGCTGAGGGACAGTGCCCAGGCCCAGAGTTCAGGCCCCACAACCGGATCCTCCCCCCAAAAAATTTGGCTTATCTGTATTTTATTACTCTATACTTCTATTCTAGATCATACTTTTCCTCTATATTTTATTTGCCTAATTATCTTTTGGTATATACATATTTCTATAAATGTGTGTATATGTCCTCTTATCTTCCCTGATAGTATAAAACAATAAATGCCAGATTTCTTGAGTTTTCTTCTGCAACCCCTCTTTTATTGCTTAGAGTAAATACTCCTCTATCTTCCTACAGTATTTTGAGTTTGCATTTTTTCCCTTTGCTCAGGGTAAATATGTGGTCTGTTTTGATCCACTTGATGGCTCTTCCAACATTGACTGCCTTGTGTCCATCGGAACCATCTTTGGCATCTACAGAAAGGTAAAATGTGGTACAGCAGGTACCTGGTTTGGGACTAAAGTGGAGGTGACACAGGTGGTCCTGTTTCACAGAGGTAGAACTGTCAGAATGTGCAGTGAAACTGTAGGAGGCCTGAGAAGATTGTGTCAAGCGCTGAGACTTTTCCAGCTTGAATTGCAGAATAAGAGCTACAGAATTGTTAAAGCATAATCAAATAGTTAAAAAAAATAGTAAAAAACAGAAAGGTATTTCATTCTTTTAGCTATATCTTCCTTTTATGATGGAAAATGAAATTTGAAAAGACACAGCAGGTATAATGGTGATATGGCATGAACATAACAGTTTTCTTAACAGTTTGATGACAATTGAGATTATATAAAAATTATCCTTTAAGTCCTTTAAATTAGAGGTCTGCAAACCATGACACAGCTCCCTCCCATGTTTTACTCCAGGCCCAATACAGCTCACTGCCTAATCATATGCCCTATGAGCAAAGAATCATTGTTTAACATTTTTAACTGGTGGAAAAAAAAATCCAGAGAATAATATCTTATTGACCCATGGAATTTATATGAAGTTTACTCAGGTAAAACATGAGTATATAAATAAAGTTTTAGGGGCTGGGAAGGTGGCTCAGTGGTAGAGCGCTTGCCTTGCATGCTTGAGGCCCTGGATTCGATTCCTCAGCACCACATAAGCAGGAAAAAAAAGCCAGAAGTGGTACTGTGGCTCAAGTGGTAGAGTGCTAGCCTTGCGCTGAAGAGCTGAGGGACAGTGCCCAGACCCAGAGTTCAGGCCCCACGACCGGACCCCCCTCCCCCCTCCCAAAATAAAGTTTTATTGGTATAAGTTCATGCTCATTTATTCACACATTGTCTTTGGCTGGCTTTGTTTTACACTGTGAGGGGTGAGTAATGGTAATATAGACTATATGATGATATATAAAGCCTAAAAAGTTTTTACTCTCTGTCTGACTGTGGACAAAGTTTGCCAAACCTGCTCTAAGTCACAGATAATACACTGAGGCAGGACATGAACTCAGATTCCTGATTTGTGTCTTGCAACTGCATTGGAGAGAAATCAAGTAGAATGAATACCTGTAAGGCCATCACAAAATGTTATAAAATCAAAAGTAGGTCCTATCGGCTTCAGCTCTCATTTATTTTTTGTTGCTTTTTTATGCCACTCAGGACATAGGGCATGCTAGGAAAGTACTCTACCACAGAAACCCACCCCAAGGAAACTTTTGATGATTTGGTCAAGCCTGTGTTTCTTCATCTAAATGGTTTACTCAGCTTCAGCCTATTCCAGGGCACAGAGGCCACAACTTAAGAAGTGGGACCCATAATAGTTGAATATCTAAGATTGGTGTAGAGTCTACTATTATACATAGTTTCTTTTCAAGCATATGGGTTTCATCTCTTTCCTAAGTCATGCCTAAGAAACATACCCTTCCTGCAATAGACATGGAGAGATGTCATTTCCCTGCCAGATACCAGATCGATAGTATAATGAGAGAGATTTGCCACAAAATTATTCCATGTGGAAGAAGACCTCCAGTTAATTATGTAATTCAAATGAAAGCATCACTGATTCTTGCCAGCCTCATTTTTCATCTCAAACTCCCCTTCCAAAATTCTCTTAAGGAAAAAAAAATTCCTAGCAATTTGAGGCACTGGCTATCAACTAAAAATATCGATCCTTCTTTTCAACAGTAGCTTGAGTTAAGAAGCCTAGAATAGCCAGATGATTAGTAGCCACAGTCTTCTCAATTAACCTGAAGTGAATCTCATGAAATATCCAGAGTCAAGCATGACATTGAAGTTTTTGAAAGCCCTATTGATGCTTTGGAATATACACTGATATGTGTGATCCTTCCGCAGAGACCTGTCCTGCTTTTCTGCAGAGATTGATCTTGGCTAGAATCCAGCTCCTTGGTATACATGCTCAGTCAAAGAGCATGGTACATTGGGTCAGGTCTTGCCCCTGTGACTCCTGGATAGTCAGTCCCTAATGGGATCTTTCATGGTATATAGCCCAGGCAGCTGCTGAAGCAGTATGTCTTTAAGCTCACCCTGGCTGGAGGCTTGCAGAAGGGACAGGTTCTTCTAGGGTGTTGGGCAACTATACTGGCTAGAATGTGTGTCCAATTACTGAACTGGAATCAGTGCTGTTAGTGTTTATTTTGCCGTGTAATATAACAGATAATGTTTGCATGTTTAGAAGCAACTTTTGTTGAGCTTCCAGTTTCTTTTTATTTTTCTTCTCCAAATTAAAAATTAAAAAAACTATCCATATGAAATTATTTTGGATCACTTATTAGTCTACTCACTGTCCACCAGCTACATTCAAATTGGCAATGTCTGCATGACTAAAAGAATAACTTCCAAAAGAGACCATAGTTGCCTACATGAGGAAAGACCACTAATGACATGACAGAACTCTTCCTTAGCCATTTCCACCTGACTTTCTCCTCTGGCACTACAAGTGTCCTGAATCTATGGTCTTTCCTCTGATACTCCTTATGGGGTTATGGGAAATAAAATCAAAACCAATACCTCTAGCAGGTGACAGCCTTGGAAAGGTAAAGAAAGGTAGGATCCAACAACTTTCTAGTTTGTCAAGTACCTTCTGCTTCCTTGAGCCCTGTGAGAGGAGGAATAGACCCACACCCAATAGGGGAATCATCCATTGCTGGGGTTTGCAGAGCAAAAGGCAGGCATTAGGGAGGAGGCTGGGCTAGAAATGTATTCCTCAAAATCCATAATTTAGTGGACTCTCTTTTGATCTATAGTACATGGGGTTATAGCCAAGTGTTAGCATTCCTTATTCAATACAAGGAAACAGAAGTGTGTTTGGTGGTATATTTCAGGGAGTAGTTGTTCACTTTTGCACTTTTGCCCAAACGGGGTTTGGATGATTCTGGGCAAAATATATCTCTGGGGGACTGTTTCCTTGACACAGTGAGTACAAGAGAGCCTATGGAGAGGCCTGTTTCAAGGGAGATGGGTAACTGTATAAATGATCCCCTGACAGCTAGTCCATGTTGACAAAGGCCATTCATTTCTTTTTTTCAGGGTGGTACATTGACAAAATTGGCCATTTCAGGAAAACAATTCAAATGTTTGACCTGCGTTTAGTCTGTGTTGAGTGGAACAGTACTATCTGCTGAATACAAGCCAAAGTAAATCAAATTACTCAACACAATTTACACAATTAACTAGCCAGTCACCCCAAGAGTCACGTATGGCACATGATGAAATTCAGGTTCTTAGCACCATCCTAACAAGTCTGCGCTGCTGCCACAGAGATGTTTTTTTTTTTCTTTGCCAATATTGGGGTTTGAACTCAGGGCCTTGGGGCTGTTCCTTATCTTTTGTGCTCAAGGCTAATGCTCTACTAGCTGAGCCACAACTCTACTTCTGATGCTTTGGTGGTTAATTAGAATCTTGCAGGTTTAACTGCCCAGGCTGACTTTGATCTGCAATCTTCAGATATCAGCTCCTGAGACCTAAGTTTAAATTTATATTTTTACCTTGCATTTCTAGGTAAATACTCTTCCACTTGAGCTGTGTGGTCTTTTCTGGTCCTTTTACTTTTAATTTGGTTTTTTCAGATAGGATCTCATGCTTTTGCACAGGATGACCTTGGTCTATGATTCTTCTTGTGTGGCTGAGGTTACAAGCATGTACTACAGTGGACAGCTTTATTTTTTTTTTAATTTAGAAAGGGTCTCAGCAGAGGATGTGCTTTAAGAAATCCATCAGGTGATTCTGATGCAGTTGGTCTATGTACCACACTTTTAAAAGGTAAAGGAATAAAGTACCTAGGATAATATGCTGGGTAACCTCCTTCTCCAGTTTTATGATAGAGATATTCTTAGCTTCTGGGGGAAGAAATAAAGGAATTGGAGGGAAATGGACATTTATTTTTTGTTTCTGTTTAAATTCAAGCTGAGTATCTATGGTGAAAGATTTGTCTGGAGACATTTCAAGGAATAAACTAACCAAGTGTTAGTAAAGAAAGCAATTAACAATAAGAAAAGACAATTTAGGAAACACCTCAAAATTTCCTATCCCTAATAGTAGTCAAACTGGGTTACATGACCTAGAGGTCTGTGATTTTAATGGAAATAAGAACAATAGGACTCCTGGAGATAATCCTTTTGTTAAATTTTTTTTAATTTTATTTTATTTGTGAACATACTGTACAGAGGAGTTACAATTACATGGGCAGGATAATCCTTTTGTTAAATTTTTGTAGTGAGTACATATGTGCATGTTGCTTGGCACTGGTTTGTGATGTGAAATGTGTTTCTTTTGGATTTTTTGGTATGTGTTGTGTGCCACTTCTGGAGCTTGAACTCAGGGTCTCAGCGCTGCCCCTGAGCTTTTGTGCTTAAGGTTAGTGCTCTACCACTTGAGCCACAGCTACACCTCCGATTTTTTTTTTTGGGTTGGTCATGAGGTTTTAACTCTGGGCCTGGGTGCTGTCCCTGAGCTCTTCAGCTCAAGGTGAGTGCTCTACCACTTGAACCACAGAACTACTTGTGGTTTTCTGGTACTTAATTGGAGATGAGTCTTAGGGACTTTTGTGCCCGGGCTGCCTTTGAACCATGATCCTCAGATCTCAGCCTCTTGAGTAGTTAGAATTACAGGTGAGAGGCACTGGTGTCAGGCTTCTTTTTAATTTTTAAATTGAGACATCGGGCCAGGTGCTGGCGGCTCATGCCTGTAATCCTAGCTATCAGGAGGCTGAGATCTAAGGTTTGCAATTCACAGCCAGCCTGGGCAGCAAAGTCTATGAGAGTCTTATTTCTAATTAGCCACCAGAAAACTGGAAGTGGCGCTGTGGCTCCAAGTGGTAGAGTGCTAGCTTTGAGTGAAACAGCTCAGGACCGCACTGACAAAAAAAAAATGTTGAAACAATCATACATATTTATAGGGTACCATGTTCAGATCAGGGTAAGCATCTTTCTCTTTGTTGATCATTTCTTCATGGTGAGAACATTGTAAGTCCTTTCTTCTAAGTGTTTTAAAACATAGTTCATGATTGTTATTTATAGTCACCCTGTTGTGCAGTAGAACACCAAGGCTTATTTCTTCTATTCAAGTAAGACCTCGTACACATTGCCTAGCCAATCTTCATCCCACTTTCCTTCCTACTCTTCCTGGCCTGTGATAATGACTCTTCTACTCCCAATGTCTGGGAGAACAGCTCTAAAATCGCTTCTTCCTTGAGTCACGGTCAAATATTCAAGCAGCAACTGTCTTACCCTGTAATAACTCAAGGGAGATGTTCTAAATCCCTGAATTTCTGAGAATGTCTTTGATGTAGGAGTTGTATGACCGACTGTACTACTCAGCGGGTCTGCGCTATGACTGGCAAGAGCTCACGAAATTGATTTCCTCACCAGACTCTGCCCTGGAGGCCTGCGTTAATTTATTTAAATAAAGATGGAGTGGGCAGGTGAAAGACATTGATGCCTGTAATTAGATTCTATTAGCAGGAGCTGGCAAGAAGGCATGCTGTTTTTTGGAAGTGATAACGGAGAGATGAGGGAATATCAAATTAGACAAGCAGGAGGAGGACCCTGATTGGAAAGAAGGCGGTGGATGCAGGAAGTTGGGGGGAAGGCTGTGGTGATAATGTAATCAGGATGCTGCTGATGTGGGCATTCGGGCCCCTCAGGGAAGAAGAACACCTTAACATGCATCCTGCTAAATTGAAAAATAAATACAACACTCCACAAAACTTGTTTTCTTTTGTTCTAGAAATCCACTGGTGAGCCTTCCGAGAAGGATGCTCTGCAGCCGGGCCGGAACCTGGTGGCTGCGGGCTACGCTCTCTATGGTAGTGCTACCATGTTGGTCCTGGCCATGGAGAGTGGTGTGAACTGCTTCATGCTGGACCCGGTGAGCCATCTAAAGGCAGGCTGGGTGCTTAGTTGGTGACTGTGAGGTAGTTTTTTCTGCTCTGTGTGTGTGTGTGTGTGTGTGTGTGTGTGTGTGTAGTAAGAGGTGTGTAGAAATGGAGGTCTCTGGAGGGCTGACAGTGTAACACTGGAGCAGGGAAGAGACCGAGGACCGAAAGACAATGGAGGTGGGAAGTGATGTCTGTACTGAGCATGAGATCAGGTCTTTTGTTTCAAGATGAATTAAAAAAAATAAAACCACCATTACGCTAGTGAGTGGAATGCCCATGGAGCCCAGGCAGGCCTGGGCTGATGGAAGTACACCGGGGAAAGAAAGGCTGGAGACTGAGATGAGACAAAGAGTCTAGCAATGGTTCTAAGTTGGGAATGGAGCCCAGTCTCTCCAAGGCTTACAGTGTTTGAAGAAACACTGTATTAACAATAACAACAACAACAATAATCATGAAACAGTAATGTTTTTAGATGTGTGATGCACTGAGCTGGTCAGCTCAAATACACTAGAGAATGTGAACAGGCTGGCAGATGGCCTGTGTGCACCCCACTGTATCCATTTCTTACCTTTCTAGCTTAGCAACAAGAGGTGGTTTTCCTCAGGTGAGTGGTATCCCAGCGAAAGCAGTGAACACCATTATTTCTTCAAACTAGCTCCCAAATTTATCTGTGGTATGTGCGTGCACATAGACCTTCAGTTAATATTTGCATTGTGTGTGTGTGTGTGTGTGTGTGTGTGTGTGTGTGTGTGTGTGCGCCAGTCCTAGGGCTTGAACTCAGAGCCTGGGTGCTGTGTCTGAGCTTTTTTTTCTTCAAAGCTAGCATTCTACCATTTGAGCCATAGCTTCACTTCTGGCTTTTTGATGGTTAATTGGAGATAAGAGTTTCATGGACTGTCCTGCCTGGGCTGGCTTTGAACTGCAATCCTCTGATCTCAGCCCCCCCCCCCAGAAGCTAAGATTACAGGTGCCACTGGTACCCGGCTATCCTTTGCAATTTTGTGTAGGCTTTAAGGAGCTCAAAACAAAAGAAAATAAAAGAAGGAAGTGAAGATCAATCTTAAGTCTACCTTACAGAGAAAAGTTACTTCACACAGAGGAGTCCCTGGGGCCATGAAAAATGTTCACTAGCAGTTTTAATTTGTGGATAGGTATTTCCACATGTCCATTAGTGTGCCCATTGCTTATTTATTCAGTTAGATGACAGTTCCAACAGAGCAGGTAAAATTAGAGAAAGAAATTTCTTTAAATATTTCTGTGCAACTAAACTCATCACTAAAACAAGCTGGAAATAATAATCTTCAGTACACTGACACGTTCATTAAGCATTTGGTCCAGGATGCCAAGGGAGAAAGAATTATGTTCATAAATTGTTTTTAGAAATATGTCAGCCATTAATGGAACACTTTCTACGGTGATTTTTTTGCTGACAAATTGAACACAGGATTCTAGAATCCTCTGTGCAAGGCATGCTGGTTCCAGGGAGGCCTCTCAGATTGCATGGGTGACAACTGATACACATCAGACCAAGGGTCACCTTTGACCCCTGATCAGAGCTGGACTTTCACCTCCTTGGAAACATAGACGGTTAACAAATAAACAAAGGCAAGGGCATAGCACTAGTTAAAATGTCTGATGAAGTGAAGTCAGGGGAAAATAGTGGCAGAATCGGAGCAAAGTTCAGTCTGTGCCCAGGACAAAGCTTCTGAAGTCAGTGGTATTTGCTGATGCGTTGCCTGTTTAGACATTTACAGCTTCCCCAGACATTATTCTTCTGGTGCTTTCAGTGTTACCTTTGAGTCAATGGACATAGAGAAAGAAAATAAATCTTCTCTTCTTGTTTTCTAGTTTGCAGATGCTGTCTACAGGAGTAAGTTTCTGTGTCAATAAGGTTTTTCTCTTCTCACATCTAAACAAGAACATAGCAGGTTGTTGTAATGCTCCCTTGCTGGCTGCCAGCCCTTCCTTGACTTGAATCCTTCAGCTCACTGCTGCCTGGGGCAGCCAAGCCTCCCTCTACAGAGATGCTAAGTGCTTCCTTTGTGATTTGGCTTGCTGCAAAGACAGGTTGATGGCTTCTGCTAAAACCATGGTGATTGCATTTCTAGCAGCTTTAACTTTCAAGGGGGCATTTATGTCTCTTGTCTCTTTATGTAGAGACTCCCTTTCTTCACACCCCCACCCAGGACACTCAGGCTGGATACCCAAACTGGATGCCTGGAGGGCATGGCTTCCTGAGCTTTGCATGCAATGGCTGCTGTTGGTTACAAGATGGCTTCCTTTTCTACATGTTTTATTGCAATATACGTGTGTGTGTGTGTGTGTGTGTGTGTGTGTGTTAGTTTTACTAGATATAAGACTATTCCTGTATTTATGGTCAAATATTTTGGAAATACAACAAGAATAACAAAGGCATAAAAAGGTGCTAGAAGTATAGCTCAGTGATTGAATACCTGTTTAGCAAGTATGAGACCTTCAGTTCAAATCCTAAGGCATAAAAGTAAAAAAGAAGGCCTCAGTGATTCATGACTAATCCTAACTAGTTAGGAGGCTGAAATCTGAGGATCACAGTTTGAAGCCAGCCTGGGCAGGAAAGCCCATGATACTCTAATCTCCAACTTACCACCAAAAAGCTGGAAGTGAAGGTAGTTGTGGTAGAGTACCAGACTTGAGCAGAAAAAGCTAAGGGAGAAAACCCAAACCTTGCATTCAAGCCTGGGTACTGGCACATGTGTGCATACACACGTGTACACATACGTCAAAGACTTTCTTGCAATGATAGTTTCCCATGACCACTGTTAATTCTATTCTCCCTTTCTGCTTTCTTCCTTTTCTAGTTTCAACCCACTCCAGGAACCGGTGTTTGGGATGGGAATAAATAGCTGGCCTCCCTTAACTACCTCTCTTCTCATTAGAGCACGTGTCCTGCCCATGAGGAGAGTCTCAGTCATATTTTACCTACTAGCAGTCTGTACCATTAGTCCAAAGCAGTAGTTATGGGACCCTTCTCTACCAATTCAAGTCTCCTTTGAAGAACAAAAAGTCAGAAGCTTAGGGCTGGGGCTGTGTTTGGGGAGGTGCACTTAGATTAATTGTATAACAAAGGTGTATGGCATTCTGGGACTCAAAACTCAGGGCTCCATTTTTCTCTGCAGCAACATATGAAAGAGATGATTTTTTTTTGTTGTTGTTTTTTGGTCATGGGGCCTGACTTCTGGGCCTGGGCGCTTTCCCTCAGCTCTTCAGCTCAAGGCTAGCCTTCTACCACTTGAGCCACAGAGCCACTTCTGGTTTTTTCTGTTTATGTGGTACTGAGGAATCAAACCCAGGACCTCATGCATGCAAGGCAAGCATTCTACCACTGAGCTACCTTCCCAGCCCAAGAGATGATTAAAAAAAAAATCAAGGTAGAAATGTACTGTAGTCTCCTGTCTGTCCTGCACCAGCATTGTGTGTATGTGTGTGTAAAATCATTGCTCTGGACACACAACCCTTGTTCTTGCTCAGATTTTACCCGTGTGTGTAAGATTTCTTTCTTGTTTTACTGTAAACATTTGCAATCAAAGTCAGAAGCTCCCTGTGGACTTCCCCAGCACCCATTTTTATCTACCCTGATTTCCTTTCACTCATTACTACTGTCTCCCTTTAGCTGGGTCACAATTATTGAAGCAGCTGGCTGGAGTCACTGGTATTCCAGGCCACTTCCTGGGCTAGCCTAACCCAACCAGCCCATTCAACACCTTGCTCATGCTTGGGGCAGATAGGTTCTCATTCACATTTCCTTCCTTGTGTCCAAGAGCATCGGAGAATTCATTTTGGTGGACAAGAATGTGAAGATCAAAAAGAAAGGGAACATCTACAGCCTTAATGAGGGCTATGCCAAGGACTTTGACCCTGCCATCACTGAGTATCTCCAGAGGAAAAAGTTTCCTCCAGTAAGTGCGGGGCACCAAAGTGAGCTGGTACAATGACCAGGCATCTGGCGTGAAGGGCAGCTCTGGGGGAGGGGTAGCTGTCCTTTGAGAGGGAAAGGGGCCGTTGGGGTTGAAAAGAGGCCTGGACCATATTTGGGACTCTTGGCTTATGAATAAATCAATTGCAGGCTGCCAGTGGCTCACACCTGTAATCTTAGCTATGCAGGAAGCTGAGGTCTAAGGGTGGCAGTTTGAAGCCAGCCTGGGCAGGAAAGTTTGTGAGACTCTTATCTCCAACGGATCACCAAAAATGCTGGAGGTAGAGCTGTGGCTCAAGTAGTAAACTAAGAAGTTAGTGGATAGAAGACAAGGGGCTGTATAGGTGGCCCTATGGGGGATTATGTGATTTGCTCTACCCTCATTCCAAAGCCACTGGCAGCAGCTATGTTCCAAGATACAGACTATTAGCAGGGCATCCAAGGTCCTCAGAGCCAGCCTCAAACCTTCTTTCCACCTTGATTAGCTCTCCTTTCCCTTTCTCTAGTATTCTTCTATACCCCAGGCCCCTTTGCCTTTGCTTATGCCAACCCTTCTCCTAGGAAAAGCACATGTCCTCTCCTGCCCAGTTGCTTGGCAAAATCCTTCTCAGTCTTCAAAGTGCTGCTAAATGGTACACTTTTGTGATACCTGCCCTAATTTCTTAGCCAATTACATATACCCTTTTTGGCAATTCTTACAGTAATTAGAACTTTGGGGAGATGCTGTCTCCATTACTCCATTTCCTGCTTCCTGGAAATGGAATTTTTTCCAGTCCATTTCTTAGCACATTTTGTAATATGCTCGATTATTAATTTATTTACTTATTTTCGTGGGACTAAGGATTGAATCCAGGCCATGGTCATATTAGGTAAGTGTTCTGCCACTTGAGCTAGGTCCCCCTCACCTCTTTGCCAAATGGTTGTGGGTATAAATAAGCCAAGGGGACACAAAGAGAAGGCCCCTCTATTTTCTGCAACCCTAATAATTGTTTTTAACCTTGTAGGATAACTCAGCTCCATATGGTGCTCGGTACGTGGGCTCCATGGTGGCTGACGTTCACCGCACTCTTGTCTATGGTGGGATCTTTTTGTACCCTGCTAACAAGAAGAGCCCCAGTGGGAAGGTATGCACATCCTCTGAGAAGTGACTAAGAGCCATGGGTTTCTGATAGGCCTGTAGGATTCCACTTCATTAGGAAGAAAGCAAGGTTATGATAGCTGTTCTGCTCTCCGGGTGGTTGCTAACGATCTGTGGCATATTCTTTTCTAGATTCCAGGGAAAGCCAGACAATATCAGGTACATGTAGAAATACTACTCTCTGGAGAGTCCTTCTAAAGCTATGGGGCAAAAGAGAATTAATAGAGTTATGGTCAAGAGGAGATGAAAAGTGCTTAGAGTTTCCAGTGGGTGTGTGGTTTGGCTTGGACAAAATGAGTTCCATTCATAAAGTGAAATGAAATAGTCTAGTCTTATTTCCAAGGCAGCAAATCAAATATGTATTGCAAATGGAGGTCTTCTTTGATCACTTTCAAAAGGCATGAAATAGAAATAACTAATGAACCTGACATTTGCTACTTGCAAAATGATACTGTTTAGGGAAGGAAAGCATCTCTGGGGAAACCTAGAGTGCTCAGGTAATTTTCCCACTTACTGCACAGGTCCAGTGTGCAAGCCAAGGGTGGGGCATGCTTTTTCTGTGTTGGCTAAGGGACATCTTTTCTTCTTCCCATACAAGGTGTCATTGTGCTTCCTTAAGTATTATGACCTCTTTATTATTTCCCCCCCCCCCAGTGGATACGTTACCTGCTTTTCTAGGTTAGAGAAATTAGAAATGGATGTATCTGGGATATATCTAGATATCTCTTTATGGCACACATGTGGTGTGAACTTCCATGCAGACATTTTTCTTTACGTAAAACACTGGGCTTGCTGTCACCATCCCAAGCTATATAATTTACCTGCTTTATAGCACTCTTCTTTCTAAGGCTTTAAAAAATGGTTTTTAATACAAATGTTGAACCTCTTCCTCCTGTTTCTTTTTTTTTTGTCCCCCTTCATGTCTGGCCCTGACACCTATATGGAAGTAGTCAGGAAACACCTGCACAGAGCTGTCTGCTCAGTAGGCAGACTGCATGAAAATGCATATGATAAAAAAGTTAATATTTAAAAGTAAATGCCAGGATGTATAACATACTAAATCCCAACCCTGGAGCCTTGGGAGGATTGTAAAAGGAATGCATACAGAGTTGCAAACAATATTGCACTGTTTGGAGGAGCCAGTCTGCTTTCCAGATGTCTGCAGCCAGACACTACTGTGGATTTAAAAAAAAATACGTTTAGAATAGGCAAAGCTCCATCCAAAACACACCCAGGATCGCTCATTAAGTCCAGTTTCTGGGCAATAAAGCAAAGGGAACCATCAAGACTGCCAAAATGTCATTCTGTCCCGATTCCAGGTGGTCTACTTCACATTTGCATTAGGCAATCTATGGGCTGGCAACAGCTTGATGAATGGTTTTATTTAACCAAATGGCTTATTCATTTTGTCTCAGATGCAACCACTCACACAAGGAAAAAAAGTATTAGTTACCTTGGAAACTCCCACCAGCCATTGCAGTGTTTTGAGAGTGTAGAAACGAGTCCCCCCTCTATAACACTGGTATCTGCTCTTTGTTTTCCAGTTGAGACTGCTGTATGAATGTAACCCTATGGCCTATGTCATGGAGAAGGCAGGGGGGCTGGCTACTACTGGGAAGCAAGCTATATTAGATATCGTTCCCACGGATATCCATCAGAGGGCGCCAGTCATCCTGGGGTCCCCCGATGATGTCATGGAATTCCTGGAGATATATAAGAAGCATGCTGCCAAATGAAGAGATGGCCTCGCTCACCTCTCCCCACCGCCAAAGAATTATCTTTCATGCATCTGGACCTTTGATCTCAGAGGGCACTACCCAACTCTGATTGTGCCTTGTACATTCCTAGACAGCCTGAATATTTTTACTATCCAATGTCTGATGCTTCCAAATCCAAATGCTATCTCTGTAATGCCACAGGTGGGCAAGTATATTTTAAGTGAATGGCAAAAGAAACATATTCTTCCTTTGTAAAAGAAGTCTTGACTGCTTTGTGTCAAATAATGATAAAAACACATAGAACAAATGCATTAGACAACTCATTTAGTCTTTGCAATAACCATACGAATCAAATGCTATGAATAATAGATTTTGTAGCTATTGAAAAGGAGAACTGAGAATAGAAGCAATTTGTCTGGTTTCCAGAAGACTGAGCTGGGATATGAACTCAAGAGTTCTGATCACTGAGTTCTAGGCTCACGTATTGCTTCTGGTATATGTTGTTCTAGACTGTACAGAAATAACCAGAACAAGGTTGTCATGTCCAAGATAGTGGTGGTAGCTCTGTATATCTTCTTGGCCTGTACATGGTGTAACCATCTGAATCACAAATGAGGGTTTACAGTATTATTCCATGGTGGTTTTCCTATGAAAGCAGGGTGCTTCATTGAACAAAGCCCAATAATTCCTAGAGTCTATTACATAAGGACAAGAATTCATCATAAAAACTAGGCACTAGTGGCTCATACCTATAATCTTAACTGCTCAGGAGGCTGAGAACTGAGGATCATGGTTCAAAGCCAGTCTGGCAGACAAATCCATGAGACTTTTATCTACAGTTAGCCAGCAAAACAACAACAACAAAACAACACTGGAAGTAGAGTGATGGCCTTAAATGAAAAAGCCAACTGAGAGTCTGAGGCCTTGAGTTCAGGCCCCAGTACTGGTATACACACATCAAAAGAACCCGATGTAAGGGAATTTGATTAGGGGTTCAAGTGTGCTTCTCACAAAGTAAACCTGGTAAGTTCAGCTCTTAGCTGACCTTGACTGTATGTGAGTCCAAAGGTCATCCCGGCATGTTTATTTATTTATTTATTTTTGGGTCCGGTCCTGGGGCCTGAACTCTGGGTCTAGGTGCTGTCCCTCAGCATTTCAGCTCAAGGCTAGCACTCTACCACTTGAGCCACAGCGCCACTTCCGGCTTTTTTCTTTTTGCTTATGTGGTGCTGAGGAATCGAACCAGGGCTCAGGCATGCAAGGCAAGCGCTCTGCCACTGAGCCAACTTCCCAGCCCATGGCAAGTGTTTAGTTACATGTTTGATATGGTTGCGGGTATGTGTGTAGAAAATAATGTGATTTTTCACATATGAATTAAAATAAGTGTCTGCATAGATCTTACTTCTCTCCTCCACTCTTCATCAATTCCATGTCTTTCTTTTTTTTTTTTTGGTCGGTCATGGGGCTTGAACTCTGGGCCTGGGCGCTGTCCCTCAGCTCTTCAGCTCAAGGCCAGCACTCTACCACTTGAGCTACAGTGTGTAGATAGGAGTCTCACGGTCTCTCCTGCCCGGGCTGGCTTTGAACGGCGATCCTCAGATCTCAGCCTCCTGAGTAGCTAGGATTACAGGCATGAGCCACCAGCGCTCGGCAATTCCATGTCTTTCTGATGAGAACCTTAGTTTGATCCTAAGTATTGAATCTGCTTTTATCCACAAAATGTACTTCAGTCACAGCAATTCCTCTACTCAGGAGAGGGGAAGGGCTCTAAGGAAAGTCACCTGATTCACAAAGAAGCTTCAGGGTTTTAACCTTGGCTTCTGTTCTTAATGCTCTGAAGATATGATAGTGAGGTGAGGGAAACAATAGTCCCCACCCTGGAGCCATAATGAAACCAAGAAAGATAATAGAAGTAAACCTTTCCTTTATTTCTGTGTGTATGTTTTATGCAGTGTCTTTTGATTGAGACATGAGCTCATGAATAGAATGGTTTCATGCTGTTTATTGTATTCAACTTCAAATGCAACCAAGTGTCCAGCTCATAGCAAGGTAGACTTGATCCAAGCTGAACATGGTGGTCCATGCCTAAGATCCCAGCTATTCAGAGAGCAGAGGCCGGAGGATGGTGAATTTGAGCTCAAACCTGGCAATGTTAATGAGACCTGCCTCAGAAACAAAATATAAACAAAGGGCTGGGTGTGTGGCTCAAGTGGTAGAGCACTTGCCTTGGATGGGTTGAGATCTTGGGTTCAATCCCTTACTCTGAAAAGAAAAAGGGGAGAGGCATGGTCCAAACAGGGAAGGGAAAAACATTTTCTGATGATGATTATAAGATCTCAGAATTGGACTTGAGACCTTAGAGGTGGCCCTTAGGCAGATGAGGGGATGGGTTCTGATCCACTGAAGGTTACACAGGGATACCAGCAACCAAGGCTCTGCAATGTCACACTGCCATGATAGTGGAGACTCTACTCCTAATCAAACCCATGGGGTTCCTTTTACAAGGAAAGCACATCCCCACACAAGTAAGCACATATTTGTCTGTGAGTGTTTCTGTTTTTTTTTTTTTTTTTGGTCGATTGTGGGGCCTGAACTCTGGGCCTGGGCGCTGTCCCTCAGCTTTTCGGCTCAAGGCTAGTGCTCTACCACTTGAGCCACAGCACCACTTCTGGCTTTTTTTTTTCTTATGTAGTGCTGAGGAATCGAACACAGGGCTTCATGCATGCAAGGCAAGTACTCTATCACTGGGCCACATTCCCAGTCCCTGTTTTGTTTTGTTTTTTTAAAATGGGCTTTCTCTGTCTCAGCATTAGTAGGATGCATATAGTGGCCCCACCCATGGGTTTGAATTTTGGAGATTTCATAGCCACACCTTTCACTTTGCAAGTTAAGAGTATACATAGCCTTAAGCCAAAATGTAAGTATTTCAAAGTGAATTAGCATGGAAGTGGACGGGGAGCAGAGGCTGGAGGTAGGTTTCCACAGTGCCCTTGCTGCTCCTTGTGCTTTGCCAAAAGCTCAGAAAGCACCGGTGTGACTTGAAGTCTTATATACCCTGGCTTTGCCACCACAGGTCTATTAAATACAGCTGAAGACCCTGGGCATTTGATGAAACATTCTAGATGTGGCACCAAAAGCCCCAGAGTGAGGCAGCCTGCTCCCCCAACTTCAGGATTAGGGATGATTTCAATTTAACTGCTCAGAGAGCATCCCAATCCCCACACCAGATGAGGGCATCTTTCACCAAACACAACAAAGTCATAAATAGCTTTCTTGTCGCCAAAATACCTGAGGCACTGGAATAATGGTGGTGGAGCGGTAGGAGGGGTTGCTCTCCCTTCCTGTAGACCTTCACTACAGCTGTTCTTTCAGCTTCCGCTCTGTTGTGAGCCCTTTTCGAACTCTGGCATTTGCCGAAAGGTCAGCAGCTGCCATTTGAAGCCATGTGGGTAACTTGAACTTCTAACATTTAAATGGTGAAGGATGATGACAAAATAGAAGACCTGTCCTGTTGCAGAGCAGCAGTAACTGATTGCACACAAATGACACTGGCCATACTTCTTCCTCCGCCTAATCACTCAAACCTCTTAATTAATATTAATTAATTTAATGCCAATACTGGGACTTAAACTTGGGGCTTCTTGATCTGTCTTGGCTTTTTCACTCAAGGCTGGTACTTCAGCCAAACCTCCACTTCTGGCTTTCTGCCAGTTAATTGGAGTAGAGTGTCCTACGTTTTTCTGCCTGGTCTGGCTTTGATCCATGATTCTTAGATCTCAGCCTCTGCAGAAGCTAAGTTATAGATTTGAGCCAACCAGCACCCACCCAGATAGACACTATTCTTGATATCTAGAGTGCTCAGCAGCCACCATATCTCAAAGTGTCTGTGCTAAAGCACTGTCCATCTCATTACCAGTCTATTGTAAGCAGAGATGTTTATAAAATATAATACAAAGAATTACTGTAAGTGACATTGTACAAAAAGAAATGTACTCTTTACCTGACTTATGTAACTGTAACCCTTCTGTACATCACCTGTATAATAACCATTTAAAAAAAAAGAATTATTGGAGCTAGGTGCTAGTTGCTCACACCTGTAATCCTAGCTACTCTGGAGGCTGAGATCTGAGGATCACGGTTCCAAGCCAGCCTGGGAAGGAAAGTCCATGAGACTCTTATCTCCAATTAACTACCAAAAAAGTTGGAAGAGGAGCTGTGGCTCAAGTGGTAGGACACTAGCCTTGAGCAAAGTAGCTCAGGGACAGCACTCAGGCCCTGAGTTCAAGCCTTGGGACCAGCAAGCACATGCACACATGTACACACACACACACACACACACACACACACACACATTATTGGAATGAACAGGAAACATACAAACAGCTCAATATCTCAAATCAGTAGAGAAAAGCCATTCTAAGCAGTGAGAGGCCATATCATACTCAGTAGGATGCTAGTATAATTAAAAATGACAAATGTTGGTGAGCATAAGGAGACTTTTCAATCCTTGTTCATTGTGAGTGGTGCACCCATTGTGGTAAATGGGCTAGAGGACCCTTAAGAAATCCAATAGACTTTCCTAGGGCTCCAGCAATGGTTCTTATAGAATTGAATGCAGGGACTCAAGCAGATATTTGTAAATAGTAGTAATCACATTAATCAAAAAAGTAGAATCAATGCAAGTGTCTACTGATGGAAGATTGGATAAACAAAATGTGACATAACATACAATGGAATTAATATTAGCCTTAAAAAGGAGAAAACATGCCAGGCACTGGTAGCTCACACCTGTAATCCTAGCTACACAGGAGGCTGAGATCTGAGGATTGCCATTTGAAGTCAGTCAGAGCAGAAATGTCTGCGATACTCTTTAATAAATTTTTTAATTGTAAAGATACTATACAGAGGGGTTTCAGTTACATGAGCAAGGTAATGAGTACATTTCCTATCAAGCATTGTTACCCCCTCCTTTGTTCTCCCCCTACCATCCCTGTCCTCCCCACCTCCCCAACTCCTCCCTCTACAAAGTTATAAAGTTAGATTTCAACATAGTATCTTGTACATCTTGTTGTTACAATGGGTCATCCTGTATCCTTATTTCAGCCTTTTGTTATTTCCCTTCCCCTCCCCAAATTAGAAAAATGAATATATAAGATGCAGGGCATTGGAATCAAATACAGTGACAACAGGGGTTATACCATGGGGGAAGAACATACAAAAGAAACAAAAAAATCACATAGTACATTGTAAGCACATTAAAAAAATAACAACAAGAAAGATGAAATCTCTTGTGTCCCTATCTTGGGGTTCATTTCACTTAGCATGAG